CGCCGCATTGCGCGGGTACACAACTAGTATATAATCAAACATTTATCGTCCCCACTTACCCTAGGATCATCCATTGGAGGTGATTTGACCAAACTTTGATCACTATTTTGTCCTCTAGTGAGGACATCCTATGACGCACCGATTTGACAATTAAGTGATGTTTTTCAATAAACGAGGGACGATTTTGACTGGTATTTTGTCTGTTTTAAAGACCAAATGTAGCGTATATATATAAATATTGTGGTTTTTCTCTATAAAATCTAACACTTCTACTCTCACAACTCTTAATCCTTATACAAAATATATCATCACAACCCTTAATACAATATGAAATCACGTCAAGCTTTACAATTATTATTACTTTTTTAAACGTATAAATGAATCAACGAATGTTTTTATATTTTCTTATCAAAAAACCAACGAATGCTATTTTTTTTTAATAATTATTGATACGAAAAAAATTATTTTTATCTGATTTAGGGAGCAAATATCTAATTTTTGTTTCCTAAATCAGATAAATATTTAATTTTTGTCCCTCAAATCAGATACATGTAGGACCTATTTCATCACTAGAAGACAAAATATGGGTCAAATTGTCCCGGGGGTAATCCTGGTGCTTATATTTGACAAAACATTGAAAAATGGTTATTTTATTAATACATTATGTATAAATTAGTTATTTTAGTGATTTTTTCTATAATTCTTCTATATATTATACGAATATAAGAAATATTGGAATTAAATGTTTAATAAAAAATAATAATAATTTATTAATGAAACTCTTGAAATTAAATACAATTTCTTTTAAAATATTTGATTTTCAATTATCTTTTTGAAATTTTTTGAATTTTTTTTTTAATATTGCTATTATAAAATCAAACATAGACTTTGAATATGCTATAAAAATTTATTCATATATTCTAAGTTCTTATAAGTCACTAACATTTTAACCTTTTTGTTACTATTCGAATTCAGATGCTCTCAAAGTCCTTATGGGCTTGTGGCCAAGAAGGTTCACCTGCAATTACTCCAGACTATTCATGATCGTCCCAAGATTAGGCAGTAAGCATAAACTGAGTTTGAAACCCATTGTCACCCAAAAAAAAGGGTGCTCAGGATATTATAAAATTAAGAAACATCGACCAAATAAACTAAAAAAAATCCCCCAAAATGGTTGAATTCAACTAAAAACACATCACATGATTTTGCAGACCTTTAATCTACCTTAGAGGTACCCCTACTAGGCAAAAATCCTAGATCCGTCATGAACAAAAAATAAGTTTCTTATAAATCACTCCATCGAAGATTTTATTTCCCTCGAATTCAACACACGTCTTCGCTTTCCAAAACCCCGAAAACCCGCCATTTCTTTAGGTCCATATTTTCCAAGAACACCAATCACCATAATCACAAAATGGTGTTACATGAATGCTCAAAGCATTCTTAAAACCTTAGTTACAAGTTCATACAGTATTGCATTTCTGCCAAATTCACAAGATTTTGTATCCCAGATTGACGATTTAAATCGTCAAGTAAAGAATTTCCAATTTCCCCATACTTCTTACCATCACCGCCGACCTCTATCATTTGTAGAAGCCGAACGAGAGCCGAGAATAGCCAGTGTCGTGTTACGTGTCTGTTAATCTGTAAAAACACGTTGCAAATTAAAGAAAACAAACTTCCCTTTGCATTTTATTTGATCGTAATGTGTGTTCTATACGTCCAATTCTTGAATATCGAATGTTTTACCTCGGGTTCGACTATGAATCGCGCCCAAATTTTATCAGTGCGAGCTTCCATAACTCCCTTTAAGATTATTAAGCCGAAACTCCGGATTATGTCCACTATCTCAAGAAAGAATCCTCGTTCTTCACAAAGCATCTGCACCAGAATTACAATTGCAGATAAAGACCATGTTTAACAGTTATAAGTTAGCTTATTTTATTAAAAAAATCACGTTTGGTTAGCTATAAACCAAGTTTCTTGTAAAACTATTTCAAGTAGCATTTCAATAAGTTTCATGGGCTTTTTTTTTGCCTTTTCTTTTTCCAATTATGCCTTTATTTTTTTTACCAATTAATTTTCTAACATGTTACATTGTCATCTAGTTTATCAGATAGTTTTTACCAAACGTGACTAGTTTATCAGGTACTTTTACCAAACATATGGCACGTGCATGTATCAACGACAAATGCGTATTTTTTTACCTCGACAAGCATTTGACCAGGGGAACCGAGGTCCCCGACAATTAGCGGACACACGACCGTCTGATTTCCCAATTCGCATGCCCAAGTCACACCGTTGGTGCTCGGGTCAATGGAAACCACGCCATTATGCTGACCAAGTATTCGAGCCATGTTAAAACTATCGTCTTGAAATAACCGTTTCAACAAAAAAGTATGCAACTAGAGATAACAACTTTGCTCACCTTTGGCTCATCGGCTTCTTTTATTCGGACGGCTTGTTTCGTTACGCTTTGCAAGAAAAGCATGTGCTTGATGGTCCGATCCAACAAACAATCGATGCTCATCTGTTAAGGATCATCGTTAATTAGTCGTTTGAGTCATTTTCTTGAACCCAAACTTAACACGGTAACCTCATCCTCGTACAAATAAACCCGAGGGTTATTTTGACATAATATTTTTTGAACGTATGCCTCAAAATCAGTCGGAAGGTAAATGGAATCGATTTTGGGGGTTATTTAGCTTAAATGACCTTTTGACAACTGTTTTTTAAATCTATGACCTTCTAACAAGTTTTTAGACATTTTTATGTATGAAAGTGACATTTTTCTGTTAAAACTGACATTCTCAAACATGTCAGAAGATTATGGATTTAAAAAACAAACCTGTGAGGTCATTTAACCAAATGACCCGTTTAGGAGAATAACCTTCTGAAATATCTTCAATTTTTTTGATGGATCACTTTCTAACAGATTTTGAGGCATTCATCTGTTAGCAAACTTTAAAACGGCGTAAGGCGTGGTGTTGAAATTAGTTTTATTACGGGAATACGTACCTTCTCACCGTTCGGAATCAGTTGTCGCAACTCGGCCATTCGGTCCAAGATTTGCTGGCGATCTTTGGGCCGGGGCCGAGTCCCGGGTTTAGCTTTTTTCTTAGCGGGTTTCGAAGTTTCGACTTGTTTCATAGCTTGGACAATTGTGCTCGAACCACTCATACTATAACCATCGACCATCCGTAAACCCGACGCTGATTTAGCCATGGCATCTTTCTTCGGCTCAAGATTGTTGTTATATAGAACAGGCTGTAATGAACTCGCTTCCCACATTGAATTTCCAGTTTTCCGTCTTTTTGCAACTTGACCCTCGACGCAAGAGGTCGAAGCTGCATTGGATATACCAGAAATACCCTCCAAAAGCTCTTCGATCCCAAGCCCTGCGAACAACCTTTCTTTCGGTTTCTGACCAAGGGCAGAACAGTCAAATTGGCGGGTTGGCTTCGGCACGAACATACATCCTGAACTGTAGGAATCGAAACTTGAGTGACTTCCATCGATAACCGGAGCTAAAATGTCTCCCAAATCTCCCATATTTCCGAGCGGATCAACGTCACTACCAGAAATAGTCACGGATTCATCATAATTGACGGGAATAAACGACAAAAAGTCATCCTTCGGTGTGAAGCTTCCGAGATTGAAATCTTCCATTTGGAAGAATTCATTCGGGATACCGAAATCCGGGGGTGCATCAAGAAAACAAGATTCTTCGGACGATATCAAACCGTTTTGATGACAAACTTGGCTGTTTAAGGAAGATGAAGCAATTTCATGTCCACCATTTACAAATTCTTGAAACATTCTTCTTGTTTGATCTACAAATTCCATCCTCTCCAGAATCTGAATCAAGAAAAGAATACATTTGAAGTTAAATTATGTTTGCTAGATGGGTTATTAAGGGGACACTGCAATAAACTGGCTTTACAGGACGTCAAAAATGTCTAAATGTCCTAATATACTGTTTTACAAGACTTCATTTATAGAACCAAACAATAAAATGTCATATTCAAACAATAAAAACTTTGTATTAACTATTTCATAGGACACTATTTGAAAAAATGTCTTGTATAAACAAATGTTCTAAAAAAAGATGTGTTTATAAGACACTTCTCAAAGGTGTCCTATAAAAATTGTTGAGATGGCGCTTTATATTAAAAATGTCCCTTGAAAACGTCTTATAAACTTGTTACAACACATTTAGATAAGATGTTTTATTATTTGGTCTTATAAAATTAAGTCCAGTAAAAAAAAGTATTCTAGAACACCTAGAAATTGTTGGCATTCTATAAACTGAATTTTGTTGTAGCGAGAATCACTTTCTGACATTTTTGTGTCAAAAACAGACATTTTTATGTTAAGCAGAGACGTTCTAAAATCTGTCTGTGAAATTATCATCGAGTGATCATAGGACCAACCTTCTCCTTGGCCCCAAAATGTACGACTCCTTGTGGCTCCACAGGGATTATTGCAATTGTCTGCAAAATCGAATGAATAAAGAGAATATTGTACAAAGAATGTCGTAGGAAGTACCGCCTCGGATCCACCCCCACCCGTGGTGGACATGCGGCGGCACCACCCTAAACAGACCGCCTACGAATAAGGGAAAACCCAAAAGAAGTACCTTCATACCAGCCGAAAACTGGCCACGAAATCCATCGTCATCCTGAAATTAAGTGAAGAATGTTCGTTAAAACACAATGAAAGCATCTATTTTTGGTGTCAAATGTTTGATCTCTATGACATTCCAGCCAACCGTACCAGATATTGTACGTTTTATCTACACAATTTTAAAAGCGCATAATAAAAGAGGTATCCACTCCTTTATAAGGCAACATTTGTTCTCATTCATCCCCATTTGATGTGAGATCTCACAATCCACCCCCTTAGAGATCCCAGTGTCGTCGTTGACATTAGTGATATGATCTTAAATGGGTTTTTAATTAAATTCATGACTTCTCATGGATTTAATTAAAATCTCGTGGCTTTGATACCATTTGTAACAATCGCCGGCCAACCATACCGGATATTTTCTGCTTTATCCACATCTGCACTCATGGTTTTAAAACGCGTATGACAGAGGAAGTATTCAGTCCCTTATAAGACAACATTTGTTCTCTGAGATCTCACAGTCTCTTAGAAAAAGTCGAAAACTCTTCGAGTTATAACTCGTACCAGAAACATATCCCAGATTGAACCCGAAAAACTCTGTTCATTGTAATGATCTTCTGAGGATATCCACAGGTGCTTGTTAGCATAAGCAGCTTGTCCAATTATCCTTAAAATTATAAGAAAAATGAAGAATTTATCATTATCAGCATTAGAAAAACTAAGTTTGATGGTTCGATTTTAGCAAAATTAACCGAATGATTACCGAAAATTAACCGTCTTAATACAAATTTTAGAGGAAATGAGCATACCCTCCTCCAATCGGTACTTGCAGAAGCCGATGATCGATCAATCCTCCGAATTCTTCATCAAAGTAGGCATCTTGCAGGGTCAACAATCTATGAAGCAAACAGTATTTCAAAAATCAGTTCTAATGAAATGTCATGTAAAATGTATGTATATATAGAGAGAGACACACACACAGAATGAGGTTATGAAGAAAACCGTTAAAAATGAAAAACTGAAGAACATTCTGATGACGATTCATCTCTAAGTAATTTGTCCAGTATGCACGTACCATAAAACATCTTCAATTACTTGTATGCACATATGCATACGATATTGATGAATGGACGTTCCTTTTTTTCATTTTTTGTTGTTTTCCCCTTAACCGAACTGTATATATGTATATGCATATAAAAAGGGGCAGATTCTTGAAGCTTTTGAGTGAAATGAGGCTAAATACATACACAATGAATTTTTTTTTTTAATTAAACCAGTTAATAAAATTGAATTTATACAGAAATAAATTTGTGGGATATGTAATTAATGCTTTAAATAAATCTGATTTACTACATCTACTCATATCAACTGATAATGACCAAATCAAAACCAAAAAGATACAATCTTGTCATTTCCTTGATACCCTTTTCAATATAAATTATGTATAAAAAACTGAAAATATATACAATAAAATTAAAAATAACTGGATTTTTAATAAAGAAAATGAAGGGTATACAAAAAAAATCAATTTTTTTTATTAACCTAGATATCCAACCCGCTATCCGAACCGACTAATCTCAGAACGACCACCTGTTTTGCAGATAGGCCGGAGTTCACCGCATTTGAACTTTCATGGCCATAAGAGGATTTTTATTCCTACTTGGATTTGAACATGAGACGTCTTGGTACTTTTGAACTTTGGAGCCAAGCTCAAACCAACCACGTACCATCCTTATGGTTATAAAAAAAATCAAAATCTTGATGTTAGACCAGGCGAAACCCCATTTCAAGATTACACAAGATCACCAGAAAGAGTAGAAGAAAAACATAAATCTTCATATACCCTGAAAATTGTGTTAGATACATAAATGTGTATGTATATATATATATATATATCTATCTGTGTGTTAGAGAGAGAGAGAGAGAGATGGGGGTAATACAATGAATTTGGCTGATCATAGCTCCAAAAAACACCATAAGACCATCCATAAGAACAACACAGATTCTTGAGCACATTATTAACAACTGAATCTTTCTGAACTGTGCCCATTTTATACACAAAATCAAGAATCAACACCAAGAAAAGGGTGTTTCTTCTTCTTGTTCTTCAAAAACCCAGAAAACCCCAGCTGCAATAAGTGCTTTGGGAAAGTAATCTGAGCAGAAAGAAGAGCTTAATAGATTAAGAAAAGGGAAGAGCAGAGGTTTTGTTTTCCAAGAAAATGAATGAAGGAATGGTGGTTTGTTGTTAAGACTGCCAAAAACAGTAGTACAGAAGAATGATGATGATGATGATGATGGTGATGCTGATGCTGCTGTTTTAAGCTTATATTATATGATAATAAAAAAGGAAATATGACATCAAAATGTGTAGAGAAAAGGTTGTTTTAAGCTCAAAGCTAGAACACATTACCTTATAAAGCTGTCTCTACAGACAGAAAATTGGGATTTTTAAAGACCCTTTTTTCTAGAAGAAGAAAAAGAAGTCTCATTAAGACCAATTTTAATGGGTTATTACGTCTTATATTAATCCCTTACGTCTTATATTAATCCCTTAAAATTTACCCTAATTTATTTTAAGTAGAAGGATACTTAAGCAATGCAGCGAATACATCTCGATTTTAATTTTTCATTTTATTTTGTTCCTCTGTCGATGTTATAATACGGTTTTATATGGTTTTGAGAAAAACGATAATGTTTTTATTTTTGAATAAAATATAAATTTGAAGATATCTTAAAATTAAAAAAAACATATCGATATTAGTATCAAATTAACTATTTAAAAAATCTTGTTTTGTTGTGTAATTTCTTTAATTTAACTTTTTTTATTATAATTTAATTTAGGTTTAATAAGAATGTAATTTATTTTTTGTTTAATAATATAATTTTTATAAAGATAATAATTATTCTAATTATATTTTAGGTTTTTTGTATTTAAAATGAAATGTTTATCCAATATTTGATTATGTTTATTTGTAGTTAGTTACACAAATTCAAGTATGAAGTTTTAATAAGTTGTACCTATGCATTATTTACTTGTAATCTTAAATTTTAAATAATATGCATCAATAAACAATATTTCATGTATAAAAAATGATTTTTAATAGTTTTTGTCAAATCTTTTATAATATAGTATATATATATATATATATATATATATATATAGGGTATATTTCTTTTACAACCTTGTGCATTTGTACAACTTTTGCAACCCAATTAATTGAGATATTTATAGAAATGATTGAAGTTCATTTATTATGATTTGAATATTTATGGAATATGAATAGAGTTTATTAATTATGATTAATACTTTATATTAGGAAACAATTAATTGATTAAAAATTGAATGGTTGAGATGAGGGTTGTATAGGGTGTAGGAATGGCAAAGGGTGTAGAATAACATCCCTCTATATATATATATATATAATTATATTTAATTTAGTATTAAAAATAGTGTTATCCATTGAAAAATATTTATTGTTTTGCATTTTACACCAAATTATGGTTTTGATGTAAGATTTGAAGTTACCCAATGGAGATGGATAAAAATCAAAATTCTAAATGACGTGAGGCATTTTGTAGTGGCGAGTTTAAAACTCAAGTCTTACGAGTTACAGCGAGACCACGACGTTTTTCAAGGCGTGCCCTAAGGCGGCATATGCATACATAGAACAATTTAAATTCGTATAAAGTTATAAAACTAAAAAGGAAAGAAAGACCAGTTACATAAAATATATCAGGCTTATAAGAAAATAATATCAAGAGTGCAAAATATGAATTAAATCTCTTGGGTCTCTACTCACTATTTTCTTCAATCTTCAAAGAATTCATGTTTCACTCTTTGTGCATGGAAATTAGAGTAAGGGGTTGTTTGTTTATCTCTTAATAGTTCCATTAAGAGACAATCTTTGAATAATTAAGAGATGAATTTTGTTTGGCAAAAAAAAATATGTATTTTAATGGTTCTAAAACCCTTTGAATGATTTTGTATCATGGTCTCTCTTAACCATTCAACATCCTAATTTTACTGTAAGTAATTACCAAACAATTATATTTCATTTTGCACTATATCATGAGAGCCTTTTAATCATTCTGACCATTTAATTATTCGGCACCAAACCATTCAGCAACTGTCAAACAGCCCCTTATATTCTCTCTGGAGATTTTTTTTGAAATATCTATTGGAATAAAAAAAAACATGTCAAAAATCTCTATTTTATCCATTTTAAGTAGTCTATCCAAATAGTTGTAAATTATCATATATTTATTAATACGAAAATGGGTAATAAAAGTCAATCATATGAAAAAGAACACATACCGCTTTGTCTTAAATTAAATGTCCATAATAAAAATGACATACAAAATTCTAAAAACATGTAATCATTATACTTTTTAATTAACCAAAAGATAAATGTTAGGTGTCGTTTACCATCTGTTACCAGGTAAGTGCTTACTGCAAGAGTCACCACCCTCACTTACTTTATCGCGTAACATTCTTGGCCATCAAAGGGATTGATGGAAAGCGTTTTATCATCCGATAAGCCTTTGCTCGTAAGAGTCACCAACCTCACTTACTAGATAAGACTATTGATCCTTGTCTTCCTTCTTACCAGGTGAGATTCTCGGTCCAAACTATGCTCACTGGTAAGGTAATTGACGTTTTACTCGATAAGTGTTTGGTAAACGGCCCCTTAGTCTTAATAATATAGAGAGATTTTTTTTTCATTTTATAGATAAAGGTATAACAAGAAAATAAATCTAAAAAATTATTTTAAGACAGAGAGAATATTATTTTTTTAATTATTATTTATAAAATTCATCTTGGTTTTTAAAAAATTTATTATTTTAGAACATATCCTTTTAAACTTTAGTAGGGCAAGAATTTTTGGGTTAACCCATTTTAATATAAAAATAGTAGTCTCTTCTTTGTACCCAAAGAGTCGATTAAGAAAAGGCTCAAAGAAGGTGCCTCTAACCCCATTGGTCAACATAATATATTTCAACCCCATCAATCACTTGCTTTGTGAGAGCTCGGTTTCTAAGACGAAGGCTAAGAATTCTCTACTAGACGGATTGAAAAGATCGAGGGTTCCATACGGGTAATTCAATAAAAGGAGGACCTTGAGCTCGTTCTGATCTTGGATGCAATATATTGGAATCCTGAAACACTACCACGCCGGAAGGTTGTTACTTCTATATTTCGTTGGGGGAAGAAAGAAGGAACAAAAAGAAAATGGTGTGAATGGAAAAAAATTATAAAATTCAGTCAATTAGCATGTAAAGTGGGGAGGATTTAGGCTTAGAGTTAGGGATTTCCATATATATATATATATATATATATATATATATATATATATAGACTTGGGATCATGTGAGACCAGGGACAGATCTACCTTGTAAAAGGTGGGGGGAAAGGCCTCCATTAAAAAATTAAAAAAAATGAATTTTCTAAGGGTAAAAGTTGTTTTTTTTTACTTTCTACCGTGGTTTTCCTCCGTAATTTCTTGTTAGGCCCCCACCAACTAAATAAAGTATCTTGAAATCAACCAAAAAACTGAAAAGTTCCTCGAAATTGATAAAAAAACCCTTAAAAAATCCCTCGAAATAATCCAAAAAACTTCAAAAATCTCTTGGAATGGTGGAATAAGACTAAAAACACATCGGACGACTTTGTGGGCGTTTAAGCTACCTTAAAGGTGCCCCCACTAGACCAAAATTTTGGATCCGCCACTGTGTGAGACCAAATATTTTTCATGAGACTCGTAAGACCAAATTATGTTCATTGATCAACTTTATAAGCTAATAATCTAATGGTCTAAAGTTGTACGGTGGCAATTTTGTGATTATTGAGAAGTCTCAGGGCAATTTTGTGATTATGAATGTTCATATTGTAGATCTAATCCAATGATTGAGAATTGGTCTTACAGGTCTCATGAAAAACTCTTGGTCTCACATAAATACATAATCCCAAGTCTCTCTCTCTCTCTCTCTCTCTATATATATATATATATATATATATATATATAAAGAGATTTATCGTCATAAGTCCCGCATTGAAAAACATCACGTTTCACTATGCCTCCTAAGGCTTAGAGGCTTTGCTTCGCCGCCACATGAGAAACATGGGTTTTAACAACAGATTTTCTTGTCGCTAAAAGTCAATTTATCGTAACAAATGGCTTTTAAGACGACATGTCGTCGCAATAGTTTATTACTGAAACATTTTGTCGCTAAAAACGTGTCGCTGAAACGGACTTTTCTAACTTTGACACCACTATTCACGTCATTTAGAACCTTCATACATCATTATGTCTTTCTCTTTTAATAGATACAAAATTAGAGGTCTTAAAAATGCATTCGGTTTAATTTTGATGCATATTATTTTAAGTTAACAAAAAGTTGATGAATCTACCTATACTGTAATTAAATATGATACTAATATATTACAAACTGAAAGTTATGATTTCTTTAGGTTCCTTCTAATTTTTTTGGTAACAACTATAAAAGATATGCAGTTAATGCAACTCGCTACATCAGCATGGTAATCGGTTAATATTTCAATCAATTACCAAAGTATTTAAATGTTTAAAATTTTACACCTTAGGTATCAAAATGAAAGTTTTGGAAATATATTACCCAAAATAGAAATCAAGTTAAAGTACGTTGTTTTTTCATGCAATTTGCCCTTAGTTAAATTATAAGTTTCATAATTATTTTAATTAAAAAGTATTTATTTAGGTTGGCTCTTATTATAATGTATTGGATGGTACTATTTGGAGGGATACACACGATGGTTCTTATAAGAATTTATTTTTGTATTTATTTTTCTTAATATTATTTCTAACCCAATTAAATTAAAATCATTTTTAATAATTATATTATATTTTTTTATATAGAATAACCTTAAAATCTCTAAAAAAATTGCATTCTACTTGAATAACTACTTTATTTTAACAATTTTATCATTATTATATTATTAAAATATTGAATTATATTTAATAAAATATTATTTCTTTCTCATAAACACTTAATTTTAATATCTTCTATTGG